AATAAATAAATAAATAAATAAATAAATAAATAAATAAATAAAAATAAACTTAATATCTCCCTCTGAAATGGATGTCCTTCTCCACATTTTACACGGGAAGAAATGAAAGCTGCAATTTAAGTGCTTTCCCTAAGGAGTTAAGTGTGAGGGTGGGCAGGGTGAGGGGTGGGGAATGGGCAAGATCTGAACGCAACCTCATCAGACTCCAAAGTCAAAGCCCTTCACTTTTCCCAATGTGCCACGTTGCGCCTCAACACGGCAGCAGGCTTATCCTCGTGCTCATTCCTGTCACTCGTAGAGCCCCCGTTGCTTATCAAAGCATTGTCATTTATCTTTTTACTGGGGCTTTATAACTTCCCTTTAACTAAAACAGAATGGATATAATTACAACCATTTTATGGATAAGAGAATCAAGATCTTGAGATGCTGAGTGATAGGCCCAAGATTTCCCAGGGACTTGGCTTCTGTTATCCTACCTTGTGGCTTCCGTTATCCTGCCTTGTGGTTCAGGACAGATGAAGCTGGAGAATCCAAGATAAGGCCACTTGGAGGGTTCAGTGCATGCAAACCTTGCCACATGTGTCGATGTAGCCCTGGGTTGGGGCAGGGAGTGCGGTTTGAGGGTCCCAGGGTTCAGTCTTAGGACCCAAACTGAGTCCAGAGGAGGAAAGGGGTGGACAGAGGAGTCCTACTTTCCCAGGGATTTCAACAGGTTTAACCTTTGGAGTGGTTTGACAATGGGAGCATTAAGGGAGAAAACCATGTCAACAAGCACAGGGCAATAATGAGCACCCATAAAGATAAGGAAGCTCTAAGCAGTTAGGAGCCCAGGGAGTGATCTCTCAGGCTCCCCTTGCCACCTTCACCCTTGTTCCCGCTCCCCGAGACTCCCTTCACCAGCCTGAGCCAAAGGCAATAGAGTTGTTTATCTTGGTTATTTCTTTTCCGTGGGGGAATTTCCCAGCCAGGAACCTTTTTATTTCCTTGTGGAGACAAAGGTATTCTGTTTCTCCAGTTCTTTGGAAGAGTAAGGAGAGTGGGTTAGGGAAGGAGGGGACAGACAGGGGTGTCGGGTGACAGCTTGAGGTTCTCTTGATTCCAGTTAATTGCCCCAGACCTTCCACACCAGGCCAATGCTTAACTTCTGGGGTAGGTCCTTAGCCAAATGCTCAGGAGATGCTGACTGGGGGGACCCGGAGTGGACACTACAGGTCACCATGAGAGAGACTCCCAGGTGGCACCAGGTGGCAGAAGGCTGGGAAGTCTGTCTCCTCTGGAGGGCTTGGGATGTGCTGGCTGCAGAGTCCCAGGGAAATTACCACCTGCCATTTGCACCGGCTTTGGGTGCACTGACAAAATGCCACATGCTTTAAGAGCCTAAGCCAGCAGTATTTTCCTTGGTTCTGGTTCCTCTTCTCATCTCTAGATAAGCAATCTCCCTAATATGTCTGTGAGACAGGAAGGGGTCTTCCCATGGGCTGAGTTGAGGGGTGCAGTTTCTCCTCTGGATTGATCAAAGCGATTTGCTCTGGGTCACAGAGAGGCAGAGGCCAGGTTTTCCCAAGTGGGGGTCCCCACTTCTGCTCCAGGCTTCCTCTCATTTGTCACATGCTTGGATGGCTGCGAATGGCCTCCCGGAGAGAGGATATGCAAGTGGACCCTTTACGCTTTGCACAGCCTCGGGCCAGGGATGAGAGCATCGGGCATGCACAGCTAGCTGGAAGGCCAAACCTGGCCGAGAGTAACCTTGGTGAGGAACACACAGTCTGGTTGCAGGGTAGATCATGGGCGTGCAAGGGCACACCCACTCGGAGAAGCAGGAAATCGTCTTTGTCCAAAACTAAACTTGAAGCACGCTTTCTCTGCTAGAAGCTGAGGGGGTCCTGGGCTTTGAGAATCATTAGAGATCCCTTCCTCTCAAAACCAGACATTCCCCCCAAAGCGCATCAGGTCTCAGGGATGCCCCAGTCATGGTGGTTGGAGTTGGTTTAAAGCAGTTGCGGAAGGAAAGAGCATAATATTTATTGGCCACCTACCATGCACCAGATGCTTTGCTAACTGCTTTTCTTATATGACTTCATCATCACAGCATCTCAAGAGGTAGATCGTCGTGTTGTAAATGGAAGATCTAAAGGTTAGAGAGATGCTTGGCCCCAAGACCCACAGCAGAATTGGATCACTACCCTATTATCACTCCTTGGATGAACAGAGGGACCTGTCCTTTGGGGATCTACATAGGCTAGGATATCACGATGAAGGCATTTTTTCTCATCCTTAAAGATGAGAAAACCACTTAAAGAGGAGTGGTTTTGTTTGGTTTTACTAGCTAGGCTAGGATATTCTAAATCATTCTCATGTTACCCAGTTACTACCTCTGACATATTTATAACATGCCCACACAGTTGTGGATTGGGGCAGGATTTTCAGCTGGGCCGGAGAACAGAGTTTGTCTCCTTATAAAATTACTCTGGCTGGTTCCCCTTCGGTTAGAGTGGCTGAACTTCAGCTCTACTGGCTTGGAGTCCAAATCTTTGCCCATCGAATTCATAGTTTCCTTTTCTATTCAGAGGGAGACGGATCTCCCAGACCGGGTCCTAGCATGGCTGCTGGTGAACCACATGTTTCAGTCACTCTGAGCTCTTCATCTGTTTAGTACATAACAGAGGGCCCTAGGGCTCTTCATCTGTTGAGTACATAACAGCCCCCGGGGCTTCAGAGATGACAGACAGCACGCACTACGGGGACATAAAACCAAGCTGGCAGGTTCTGACAACTTCCCATGAGTGTGAACTTGGAGAAGCAAGAAGCTTGGAGCTCAGAGAAGTGGTGGACCACTGGCCTGGCTGGGGATGAGGCTTTCCTTGGCCTGGACTGAGTGGCCCCTTCCCCTGCCTCCTGGAGAGGCACTGCCTGAGTCCATTCGGGACCACCCCTTTAATCTCCCTTGAGTGGTGGAGCCGAGCACATACTAGAGTGATCCCGGAAACCGCGTTATCACTGAGGGAGGGAGAGCAGTCTGTGTGCTTTGGAAGGGCCTCGGATTTGAAATGACAAGTGGGAGTTTATGAGAGTTTATGTCGTTTATGTAAGCCCCGGACTGCGGGACAGTCTCCAAGCAAAAGAAACGTTCAGGGAAGCAATAAGAATTCCCTTCTTGCCCATTAGAGGGCAAGAAGATGGGGAGAGAACAGCCAAGGGAATCAAAGAATGTGCGAGCTGGAAAGATCCAAGACTTTCTATTCCCATCCCTGTCGTTAAAGCAAAATTTAAGCGGAAATTAAACATTTGAAATACCAGCTCCATGAAGCTCTGGGAATAAGCCTCATGGATTTCCAGATGCCCTTTTTGCAAA